ATGGGAAAAAATCAGCCATGGATAACTCCGTTCAAGAAACAGGTACTTTGTTTGATTAATTTCAAATTTCGTGTCTTTTTTAAGTGGTAGAGTCACGCTGCAGCTATATTATGGTTGTAGCACGAATGGGTTGACCGAGGAAGGACCACGCTCTCACAGAATACAGGCGTAATGCTGCTGTGTTACGTATTGTATTTGCAAAGAACAGGAGTCCATGTTTACAGGAAACGAGGCATGCTGTCTTATTCCTCAGAAGTTTTATACAAAAAAAGAAAACAAGATCATTTCATTGTAATTTTATAACGCTACCTAATAATTTTGGTAGAATCATCATGTCCTTTTTTCTTGCTTTTCTATTAAAAAAGTAAAAAGACATTTAATTTAGAAGTAAGTACATATTATATTCTTTCGGTATAACTCTCAGATTGGAGCACATAAAATGTTTGCTAATATATTTTTAATGTAATTTTGCATGTAAAATTAATATTTTTAATGTAATATGTCATCACTATGACGTATGAACTCTCGTGACTCGGAAATTATGTAAAGCCGTTAGTTCTGCGCCTGATCTCTCCTCCGGTTGCGTCAGATTTCCATCTCATCGGACTATGAGAGGGAGGGCATGGAGAGTATACTTGTATTTGCGCACGAACACTTGCATTTTAAGTCTTTGTTTTGACTGGCTGCCATGACCTAAATTCGGTCTGGAGGACATTTATGAAAGTCATAAAACGTACGAAATAGTAGTATTTGTGATACATGTTATATATGTATATATGAAATGTATCACAAATACATTAAATAAAATAAAATAAAACTTTAAGTGTTACTCTCGACCTATTTCGGTCACGGCAGCTGGTCTCAATGGAGACTAGACGTCTGCGCAGGACATGACTATAGCGCCCAAAGTGTATGCGGAAGCACAGTTGCACTCTCTATTCCCTCACTATCATAGTTCTCCTCATCTCATGATAGCGTCCTACGTTCTTCTTCTAACAATAAAATCTGTATACCTGTTCCCTTCACCGAGTTCTGCGGTCTCTTTGGAACTCATTGCGTGATAATATCAGAAAAGCGCCCAATAAGTAAGTTTTAAAAATTAATAAAAGTATATATATATATATATATATATAATATATTGCTAAACAGCCGGACATATTCATAGTCAATTGCATGCATATGCATGTTTAGGTCATATATGTATAATAAATTTATTAGTAAAATGTATATATTACGAAGTTTAGTATCAATGGTTTTGTGTTCTTTTATTCTATTACACCTACCTCAAATTCTAACCACTCCGTTGGTTGACTGGTAGAGAATGCTTCAAGGCATTAAGTCCACCCTTTGATTTGTTTTGTTTTAAGGAATCCAATAAAGAGAAAAAAAGAATAAAACAATTACAAAGAAAAAAAAAAGGGGAAGAAATAAATACCTAAATACATAAATGGTTCGAAGCGACGGTAATCCGACACGACAGGAGAGAGATTAGACGCAGGAAATACGGCTTCACGTGTTTTCCGAAACTCCGAGCTGCTACTGAGAATGTCTTGACAGAAAAATCCAATAACTGATTTTGACCTGACCCGGGATTCGAATCCGTGACCTCATAATTAGCAATCGCGTTTACCACCACTAGACCAACGAGGCAGTCAAAAAAATGACATAGTGTTCTGTGGTCAAGCATTCGCACAGAGTAGAGATTGTCGTCAAACAATTTTAAAATGTCAACAAAATAATTACTATTTAATTTTGTATGGTTTCGAATGTTCCATTTTCAATTATATCTTAAGTGTATGTCAAGGCAAAGAGTGTGTATTTTATATTTTACTAGCTTGCCAGGCAGACGTTGTTCTGCCCTTTTCGACGACCCTTTGTCATGCATGTCCTATTAAATATCCTTAAATTCTCAAAAAAATATGTGTGTCACTCATGCGCAAAAAAAACTATCCTATCTCTCAAGTTGGACCAAACTGCACACGGTGTGCAAATTTGATTAAAATCGGTTAAGTAGTTTAGGAGTACATCGCGAACAAACAACGTGAAAGTAATTTATATATATATTAAGATATATGAGATATTAATAAAGTGTTCAATGTGTATTTTATATTTTATATATGAGATATTAGTAAGGTGTTCAATGTGCATTTGAGGTTTAGTTTAGTAAACAGCTTGTTTACTAAACTAACCTAAAATTTAATGAATACATTTCGAATGTGTGCAAATAATATGCGACAAATAGTTTTAAATAAATTACAGACGAGGCTTGAAGGCTTACCAGCTCGCTGAACAAATATTAAAACAACCTATTCAATTCCTTACGAGCCCCTTGTTTAAAATCACTGGAATTGAGAATCATTGCCAACATTTATTTCTTTATTACTTAGGAAAAGTTTTTGGTTAGTTTGCCTTTTTTTTAAATTAAAATGAAGTGGCAAACGAACTCACAGTCCACCTGATGGTAAGTGGCTACTGTAGCCATGAACATCTGCAGCCAATTCAAACAAAGAAGACTACAGATCCGTTGTCACCTCTGAGGACTTAGACTCTATTCCCTTCCAACCGGAATACAAAAGTGCAAGTAAAGACATAAAGACATTTATTCTATACTATAATACACAATAGAATGGCTGTCAACTTTATTTTGTACGAGGATAGGCGTCGCCGGGAGCACTCATACAAGCAATTACGTCATATTATCAGTTATCACTACTACAAATTCTGTGATGACAGATTAATTTGACACAAATATTTCTTTATTTTTGTTTCTAATATTCACAAAATATAAATAGTTTCGACTTACTGGTTGTAGGATATGCCCCCTTTATTTAAATTCCATTTCCCGCTGTTCTTTCGACGCGTGATTATTGCACAATTTGCCATTTTTTAAATAATTTGCATGCAACGACGTTTGCGTTTTCGTAGCGAGCGTTCAAGCGTTTCCAATTTTGCTTGATTGTGTTTACATTTTATATATAAAACGCTTGATTGTGTTTACATTTTATAGGTGTGAATTGACATGTTAGTGGCAACATGGGCTCCGTCCACTCCCCCGTTCTATTATATATGTATTATAGTATTTTAGGATTCCAACACTTACATCTACAACACTACACTTACACATGATAAATTACTATAAAAATAAAAAATTGGCTTATTGAAAACAAACAAAAAAGGAAATTAGAATAAAGAAAAGAAATGCGTATATTATACATATGTGTATGCAAACACATATTAGAATTAAAAGACAAAAACGATAAAGAAAAATAGTGTGCTAGTAGTTGAATCACACAATGCCGCGAGCTTACGGAGCTGATTTTCAGACGGCCTCGAATACGTTCGGACGATCAAATTTATGCGAGCGAGTATATTTTTTTCTTAAATCTGTATTCACACGTGAGATGTGCCGTAGACGGTAGTATGCAGCATCCCAACGTTTTACCAAAAAGTTTATGATAAATATATGTATGAGTACTGCTATTGGTGGTAGCAATAGGTGAGAGAATGGTACCTACCAGGATTGACTTCTTGGTAGCAGGGAAGCCTTACCACGTAGGTTATTTCCAAGACAAGGCTTTTTTAAGGGCGTGGTCCTTCTTCAGCCGAGCCAAACTATTCGTGCTAGAACCACAATATAGCTGCAGTGGCTCTATAACTTTTTTATATAGGTAAGGGTGACAAACGAGCACACAGTCCACCAGATGGTAAGTGGATGCTGTGGACTCAAGATGCAGATGCGTCATAACCCCTGAGGACTAAGAATGAATGCCTTGATTCCAGTAAAACGGGTCTCCGGTTATCTACTACTCACCATACGGAACACACATTGTTATTTTACGCTGGTATTCTGTGAGAGCGTGGTCCTTCCCCGGTCGAACCAACCCATCCGTGCTAAAACCATAATACAGCTTCAGCGTGGCTCTATCACGCATAAAATCAATCACTTATCTATACTACGAAATTAGTCAAAGAAACTTCGGTCGTAAGCATCTACGTAGCTTGTTGAACGATCTTGAGCTTCTTTAATTATTACATAATCTTTGTGGAATAAGCATTCATACAAATGGATCACTTCAACTGTGGAAGGACCACGTTCTCACAAATTATCTGCGTAAAATAACTGCTTAATGTTTGCTGTGTTTTGCATGATGAGTATAGGTTAGAGAATCCGAGACTCTTTTTACTGGAAATAATAAGGCATTCTATCTTTAGTCCTAAGGGGTGAAAACGCATCTGTATTTTAACTTTAATCTAGAATAGACGTAGATGTCTATGTGCCACAGCATCCACTTACCATCAGGTGGATTGTTTGCTCATTTGTTACCCTTTTAATATAAATAACAAAATTTTTAAGTCTTCTTCCTCTTACAACTTCCTTGTGAAATCGACTACCACCAGAGATTTTCCCAAATTGATACGACTTAGGGACCTTCAAGAAAAGAGCCTACTCTTTTCAGAGAGTAGGCTCTTTTCAAAGAGTAGGCTTTTCAAAGAGTAGGCTTTTGAAAGAGTAGGCTGACCACCGTCCGGCAACAACGTCCGGACGGTGGTGACTAAGCGTCAGGTGAGCCGCATGCTCGTTTGCCCGTTCTAATTTAAAAAAATATTATAACATCAAGTCTGCAATATTGCAAATAATATAACACTTCAGTTTGGCCGTTATCAGCGGTGCCGTTGAAAATATTAAGCAATAAATATTTTATTAACTTCAAGCTCTTTTACTTTACACCAGCCATAAATAAGTATTTTTATTCATATCAAATAAGATCAGCGGTGTGATAAGAGGCGACTATGGGATACGCTTACAGTAATAATATCTATACATATGAATACCATTAAAATATCTGTCTTTAATATTGCAATAACTGGCTTCTATCATAGTAAAAACAGAATAGTAGGCTGCCTTCTAAGAAACGTACCGAACGCCGTTATTACGAGTATGTATGCGTGCTTTGCACGTGACAGTACAGACTCGTACGCACGAGCCACAGCATGACAGCATACAAATAAATAAAAAAAAAAAATAAAAAAAAAAAAAAAAA